AATTATATGTTATATATACTGTACCACTTGATTATACCTTTTTTTAACAAGATGTAAAGCAATCAATGCGAGACTTCAACCTACTAAAATCAACCCAGTGAAATCAAGAAACAGTCCATAACACGAATTTCAAATATCTGTTTTATATGGTCATTGTTCGCCTGTTTTTCATCTGTGATGGTTGCTGTTTTTGTACTTTTAGCTGCTCTTATTAGACTCGCAAATTCCCTAGTTGCTATTACCTGTTTACGCGAATTGGTAGTTTGGGCAATAAAGACTACCTGTCAGTTGCAAACGGTGGATGCATTCTAAAAAGCATCCGTGGCCACCAAATAACTAAGTTCATTAAAATTAACTATGTGTCCTTGTTACCTATATTTCAATATTGGGAATGATTGCATGGTTTCAGCGTCCCTAGAATAATTACTCCTAGCTTTACTATTCTTTATTCTATAATTACTCCCAGCTTTATTCTATAAGTGAATATAAACGATTGGTAGATTTCTGAACTGTAGCCGGTGTAATGTTTTGCCGTTTTGCCACCGACTATATAGCAGCAGCGTAAATTATAAAAGAAGTCATAAGACGTCTAAAGTACTTCAAGAACCACCAATGTTATACTTAGATACATACAGCGTTATCATACATTAGAATTGTTAGTCTGATTGTTTGTTTTTATATTTTGAGTTTTAACTTTTGAAGTATTTTCAATATTCATAAACTTTTGAGTCTTATACATAATTGAAAATATGTAATTAAATATTTGAGCTACTAAAAGTATTGAAAAGTTAACATCAAGTTTTCAATTAAAAGAAAATACTATAACACTTTATTACTGTAAGCACATAATTAGTTATAAGACATAGTTCGGTACTAGCTCGATAAAAACTTCGTTACTAGGTACTACCTTACCAGTGACAATAGCTGTGACAACACTCCTTTTTCGTAAGGTTAAACGAAGTGTTTATATTAGTGTTTATATAGTATCCACCATATAAGGGGAATTTTAAGCTTCAAAACTCTTGTTCATACCCAAAAACAAAAACGGTTCATACATTATACACAATATATAAAGCTTTTCTTAATTCAATATTTTCGTATTAATTTTGATTGATTCTTAAAAAGTCTCCCATTAATAAATTTCTATACAGGCATATAATCATTATATAGACAACTATTATCTGATTTGAAATATTTTGGAATCTCATTTCTCTGATGATCACTGACGACTAAATGCGGTTTAAAAGTTTTGTGATAGAGTTTAAGTGTTCTCAAACTATGCAAAACAAATAGACTTTCTCAGGAACAATTAAAAAATTCAGATTTAGCACCAATAAATCACCTGACGAAAGCTTAAATATATATTTATTGGAAATTCTATTGCCTCTATCAAACTCAACAGATCTTGAAATCAATGAAATTTGAATAAGAAGTTCTCTGTACATAAATGAAATTTACTACATAATCAAACTCATACTCAAACTTATGATCAATAGATACTGCTCAATATATATAATAATTTTTGACCTAGTTTTTAACTGTTGAAAAACTGAGAAGAATTGGAATAAAAATTTTTATATTTAAAAGTAAACGATTCAAGCATTGACCACCCTGTATAAATTTAAATTTTTGTTTATAATAGTATCGATATTTCTTTATCGAATATCGTACACTTATTATCTAGTGTCTAGATATATGGGTGTAAGTAGAAGATAAGAAAAGTCAAACAGCTTTTCAAAATTAGAATAAAAGAAATTGAGTTACTTACTGTAGTACACTGCTGAAGTTTAAATATAATTGGATACATTTTAATATATTACATATATATAGTATATATACATAAAACATTTGATATATTTAAAATAAACTATTTTAATAAAAAAAGCTTATCATGATAATATTTAAGTAACTGCATAAATATTAATAGTTTTTTAATGCAAATATTCTAATAACTTCTTTATCAACATAAATAAAAGATTTATAATAGCTAAGAAGTGATTTGTTAATAATATTAATAATAGTAAAATATATTAAATTTAATTTGTTTAGATATCATATGGGAAAATACTATAAAAGAATTATATATAATTATTAATGTAGTATATTTATTCACAAAAATGTATTTGAAGTCACCGAATCCATATCGATAGTCACGCCAATGTGAGAAAAAGTTAGACGGGTGTTAAGAATGTAGACTAGAATATGGTAAGGTTAGCCATATGAAAACTTTGGATTGCTGTTTAGTTCCCATTACGTCGTTGTTAGGTCGGTTTTTGCAGTTGATGTGTGCAGTCTATTATATTATCCACTTCTGTGTTGATTTAGTAGATTCTGTGTGTGTATAGTTCCAATCCTGTGTGGATAGTTTAGATTGGTCGCATAAGCATCTATAATGAACAGTGAGTTGGATATGCAAAAATTGAACCAGCTAGCGTATCACTCTTCGATAAGTTGGACATCAGACATACATAGATTTTAACCCAACTATTTAGGGATTCTATAGAAATTTAGCCGTAAATGCGGTGGGTGAGTTGTCGGCATTCAGTAAATATTTATATTGATAATAACTTTTTCTTTTACTTAAACGAGAGCTTGTTTTCGTTGAGGTGATTTCTTTAAGGAAAATTTAAGCGAAATTTTAATATTACAAAAGTATTATAAAATGAAAGTTAAATTCGGATAACAATTCTTAGAGGATATACCTGAATCAGTTAAGTAATTAAGCATTATTATTATTTTTATTCATATTCATGCATTATATTAATTCATAAGAAATATATTATATATTAATATATTACGGATTATACTTAAGAAATATTTACTTGAATATGTCATACACTGCAATGTTTATCGAATTTTGTTACATCTATTTGGAATTCATTCTGCTATCAATTTTTTTCATTTCAGACATCGTATCCTTTTTCTATTAATTATGCAGACCTGCAATGTTTCAATATAATTAGTGATTTTTATAGTATTTTTGGCGCTAATTTCTTTGGTTTCTTTCGTTATAGTTTGGTCAAAATTTCAATTAAAATCAGTTCTTCGAAGAATATACTATCACATCTGACCGCTCTTCGATTTTGTGAACAAGGCTTCCTTTAAGTACTTTACTATAAAATAAGGTGATAAAAATATGTCACGGACCTCACAAGTCAAGATTAAAATCAAACGTTTCGTTTTGGTATTTCCGTAGTGTGAAGGGAAACGAAAAATCATAGTGATTATTGTTATATTTTTTTATTTAACATGCATGGTTTCTCATTAAGAAACGAAAAGGACATATCTTGTCTTAATATCTAGTTAGTAATTCACCCTCTTCTGCATGCTTCTACTTCACCGATATCTTCTCCATTAGATATTTTAAATTTTGTGGATGTTTTAGGGTCCAGATTGAATAAACTAAGAAAAAAGAGTTTGCGTTTTTTTTCTCAATAACTGTCTTTGTATATCACATTGTTCCTAGAGTTATGGCAAGTCATACATATAATGAACCGAAAAAGATAGTGTCCATCTCGATGTATCAAAAATAAACTTTAATGCAGCACTCTATGCTACTGCTTCGATATCTATTAGCCATTTTGTTTATAAAAATCAATATTATTTAATAAAAGAGAATGGACTGTTATTAAAAACTTGTCGGTTGGAAGAAAAATGAAAGAAAGAATCAACAAAAGAGAATGTACTGTTAAAACAAACTTATGGACTTGAATTAAAGACTCTTGCAGATATTAAAGCAGTTCCGCTTCTTTCAATTTACATGAAAATGAGTCTATTCAAACAGTTTGTAAAAATTTTTGCCAAAAAAAATGATAATGCTCTAGTTATTTTTCTGAGAAAATCCCAGGTTAATCTGAGAATACCGAACTGTGTTTGTTGGACTTGAGTTCCAAATAAGACCACAATGAAGCAGTAAGAAAAAATAGCATGACTATATCTTAAAAGAATCCAAACTAAAAGACTATTGTGGCAAAAGCTTTAAGAATTTATGCTATAATATTAGTCTTACGGTACGTTCTCTCCTCTCTCACGTTTCTACTTTCTCCAAAATCTTTATGGTGTTAGCAAGGAACAGAACGATGAATTTTATCAATATACGAAAGAATTTAAACAGTGATATTAAGGGAAGTGAACTGCTAATGTGATGACGAACTATTAATGGATTCTGAAAACGATACTAAGGGAATCCACATAAGGTATTAAAAAATGTGGAGATTTGATATGATGGTGGACTATTCCTGAATGATGTGAAGGAACGTTTTTCAGGGGATTCCCAAAAGTTGCAAACACAATATTTATTAATACATAAAACTTATATATGCTTATACTTTTAAAGTATAAATATAAAATTAAATAAGAATTTCTGAGTTCTTGAAATTATTTCGTGAATATGTTTATTTTTTTTAGGCAACTGTGTTTAAAATACACACGTGTTTTGTGGGAAAACCTAGGTGTTGGTCAAAAGCGTACACTAAAAAGCATTTAAGAAGAAATAACAAGATAAAATAATTTAAAAAAAAATTTTTTTTTTCGTAGACCTGTGTTATAACCCTTTAATATGTAATTGTTAACAAACTGCTGATATCGTTATTTTTTTTAACTGCGAACTAAGTTCCGCCCCTGAATCACGTATTTCCATCCATCTGTTGAGTCAATAAAAAATGATATGAAGTTTATGTTGGAAAAAAAAGCTTGTTCAAATATCTTATCAGACATTAAGTAAAAATAATTTTAGATAAGAAATCCAAAAATTGCGAAAGTTTCGAGAATTTGATTCAGTTCTCCTTGAGGCAACGAAGACAACGCTTCGAAAGTGTTACAATATTTTTAATTATTATTATTTAATTATAAATAATGGGTATGTAAAATGTTTAATTTATTTACAACTAAAGTGATAATGACACATGTTTTTTTTTTGAAGTAAATTGCATTGTATTGCTACTTTTATAATCGATGTACTCTAATTTAAGAGACAGATTTTCCATTAAAAGCTTGCTAGTTCCTAAGAAGACTTCATACCGTGAAGTTCATTACGAAATTAAATAAAATATATTTTTAAGTGTTAATTAAATTATTTAATAATAAAAAGGGAATAATGGGTAAGCAATGAACCGGTAATTTATTGATTGACATTAACAACATTTAATATAATTCTGTGCCGCCTTATGAAGAATTTAAAAGGATTTAAAAATCGATTAATTATAATTAAAATGCTAAAAGAATTAAAGCATTTAATAGCTAATTTAATAATCCAGTTAAAATCAATTCAATTTATAGATTTATAATACAAATTTTTTTATTTAAGTGTTTAATTTTTAAAAAAAGCATTGAACTATCGATTAATCAGTATTCAATTTTTTTAAAGTACTTCCAAGTGTATTTTTTTTTAAATTGGAGGTAAAAAGTTTGAAAAAAAAAATCAGATGTGTCGATGGTATAAGAACAATAGTAATAATTTGTCGACATAATCAGTATCGAATTTATCAGAGAACGTGCTCAAGTATTATTCTTCAAAACAGGAAATCAGATGTCGATGACAATTGAACGATAGTTAAAATTATCGACATCATCATTTTAAAATTTTATTAAAGTACTTCCAAGTTTATTTTTTTTTTGACTAATAAATCAACAGATTAAAAACTGAAAACAGGAAATTAGATATTTATGTCATTATAACGATAGTAATAACTTGTCGACATAATCAGTATCGAATTTATCAAAGTACTTCCGCGTATATTATTCTTTTATGGCAATGCTAATAGTTTACGGGTTAGGCTAAGGTCTTTATGCACTGCGACCAGCTTCATCTTTTATGCATATATTATTCTTTTAAACAGAAAGTGATGAAAAGTTCGAAGCAAGCAATCTGATATCGAAGATAATACAACGATAGTGAAGTTTATCGACATTTTAAAATTTTATAAAAGTAGTTCCTAGTATATTATTTTTTTTTTTGACTAACAGATTAAAAGTTTGAAACAGGAAATAGACATCGATGTCGATAGTATTCGATAGTATAATGTCGGAAATATTTTGTAACTCGACTCAGTTGGTCTATTGTGCTAATAGTGCTACTAGAATGTAAGACTTTAAGCTCACAGCATATATTTTAGAAAAAAGAAGACTAGACATTTTTTTAAAGCTTTTATTTAAATTTTATGGTTCAATTATTGATATCTCCAAAATATATAAAAAACTTTTAATTTATTACTACTAATTAAACTACATTTCTAATCAATATATTAATTTTATCTACATACTTTTTATAGTAACTGATAAAAGCAATAACTGATATAGTTCAATATTTATGATATTATAAGTCAGTACAAGGTTAATAGACTACAACAATTTTTCTATTGCAAAGATTTATATATTAAAAATTTAAAAAAAGACAAGACCTCATTGTAATCTGTAACCTTAATATTTCCACTGATTTAAAAGCTCAGTACAAATGATTATAAATGGTTAACTTCTTACCATGGTTTGCATTATCATTGTTTAGGTAATAAGCAGTTCTAGAAATATTATGATCGGTTATTATCTAACCGGGGATTGATGGTAACTATGTTAAGAAGTTTGTCATATATAATGAATTATAAAAACTGGAATTTTGAATAAGTGTTAATTTATATATTATCCTCCTGGATATCATGTCACCAACTCTATCCAATTAATAGAAGTGACCATTGAATTAAACGTATATTATATGAAAAATAAAAATTACAGTCTGGTAACATTTTACAGTTAATAGAAATGAACTTTTATTAATTGAAGGATACGAGCAAAATGGATGAATCGATTATTTACTCTTCCTTTCACTAAGTCTGAATGTAGTATAATTTTTTCCAACATATAATTTCTGGAATTAAAGCATATATCTTCTCTTTCTCAGTGTCCGTTCCCCTTGTATAATTCTACACCCTAAAATTAATTCTGACCAGAAATATTATAAAAAGTCTGAAAAGTTATACTTCTTAATATTCACCAGCTGTGCATTGTCATTGTCATACAACGAAGTCCAAATAATATATATGACGTCTTGTTTTAAAAGTGAATGACCTATTTATTGTAGATGAGATATAATATTTGTTAATTCATTACCGGCATTTGATATCTATTTTTTCTTTGTTTTGTTACTATGACTCAGTTTAATGTCTACTGCGTTTGTGCAGTCACTTAAAACTGACAGAATGTCGTGTTGTCAGATATATTACCTCAAGTTAACTCATGGATTTCGCTTTTAAACTTTTTTTTTTTGATTTATAAAGTACTGAAATCTATTTTAAAATCTATATCATCTTTAATAAAATATTTTTAGTTAATTAATCATTTTATATAAAATATATTTTTTTTAAATAATTTTGTATCACTACCTCTAACTGTATTAATCTCTTTAATGCTTATCTTAATCCTCTACATCATAATGTAACTACTGACTGCTTTTCTACATAATACCTATTAATGATGAAGTAGTGGGGCAAATAAATACTCTTGACTTCCACTTCTTAAAAACCAGCTCACCAAATAAGCGCAAAACTCTGACTAGAAAAATAGCCCTAACGAACGGATTTTCAACTGCTGCTTTCAAGTATTAAGTCTGACTGATGCAGTCTAACAAATTATTAAATAAATTAGTTAAATAAAAATTTAAATATTTCTTAATGAGACTGATGATGAGTACTTGGCAATATTCGAAACAGCGTTGTATGATCAGCCTAATTGCAATATTCTTGATTCTTGATTCTTCTTCTTGAGTTAGTGCTATTACGCACTTTTACTCTATAATGGCTGAGGGGCTTATCTCTACCCCACACTAGGCTTTAACTAGGCTAAGAAATCATATAATTTATTTGTCTTTTAGTTGATGACGGACCTTAAATCAGCATATCTTCCTGAGAGTCCAGAAGTGGACTTGAGGATTGTTAGGGCGGGGTTAAGTAGCGTATCAACTTTAGGGAATAATTTTAGAGCTCTGTCTCTGATATATTTTTTCACTGAGTCAAGTCTGTTGATCTAATATACCATGGAATCTTAAATAGTCTTCTTAAAGCCAGGTTTTGTGCTATCTGTAATTGCTTTATGCAATAAAATAACTAAAAATATTTGTTGTTGTTTCTTTGTTACTGTTCGAAATCTAGTTTTTTAGTTTTTTTTCGTCATAAGACGCATCACATTCGACAAACAAAATTAACAAAATCAAGTTTATTTTAGGTAATATCGAAAACCTTTATTACGAGACTGCTAAAATGAAAGTGATGAATTAAATATGAAAGGTTACAGAGTGCTAATATTGAATGTATACATTATGTTATAGTTTATTTTAAAAATAATGGATTATTGTTTTTATTTTATTTTTAATTTTAGTTTTAGTTTTAGAGAGCTAGTATTGGGTCTACACGTTGTATTATAGATTACTACAAAAACCATGGACTTTTGTTCTTGTTATTTTTAACTCTTATGGTGTACGGTGCTATTGCTGCACTCGTTTATTTGTAATTATTTCGCAGAATTTTTCCACTTCTCACCTGACTAAGTAATTTGACTTTTTAACCAATAGTTCTTTTAGTTTCAATACTGATAAGACCAAAAAGTACAGTTACTAATTGATAACAATGAAGTAATCATTTCAAAATATCAAACAATAAATATAAAATAAAAAACAACTTAGGTACATCTATATATTAAACTTATGTATACGTACACGTATTATATATAAATTTGTATGTGTATAATACCCGGCAAATTGACAAGCTTTTAGCAGCAGGAAATCTATAATTGATAAGTTAAATTTTTAAAATGAATTTCTAACAATAAAAAAACAAAAATCGTTCAAACATAATTTTAAACTAATATCAAATAATATCAAAGCAAACAATGAAGTGTAAATAGCTTAGTAACTTACTTACTCACTAACTTAGTTGGGTATACAAACGATTTTCACCTTCACATGACACAAATCATAGTTAATACTTTTATTCGTTCTAATCTTATCAGCATCATATAACTGGGTACACAGTAACGCCTACGCTGATATACCACCCTTCGCCATACATGCTGGCCATGATTCAGATGGTGATGCAATTTACGTTGGCCGCGCTTACCACAATGGCGATGTAGTGCCAGCCAAAGTAATACCCAATAAACATCAAGCCTACGTAGCATGGGGTGGTGAGGAAATCAATAAGCACGATGTTGAAATCTTAACTGGACAACATTTCTGCTGGATTCCAAGCTCTGGCGGTAATGTACCACCAGCTGCTCTACGTGTAGGTCGTACAACTGACGGTGAACCATTATACATTGGCCGTGGTCATTGGCACGGTAGTTTAACACCTGGCAAGATACATCCATCCCATGGTTGCTTATATATCCCATATGGTGGTGGTGAGCACAGGTAAGTTTGAGTTATAATCTTACATTTCTATTCGTTTATTCTATTAATAACATATATTTTGTTTGTAGATTGGAACACTACGAAGTTTTGGTACAACCCGAAACATGGGTCAGTTCAGCTGGTAGCAATATCATCCCTGGTACCATACATGCCGGCACCGATTCTGATGGTGATGCTATTTACGTTGGACGTGCTTATCACGAGGGTGATTTGTTGCCTGCTAAGGTTATACCCAACAAGGGTTGCGCTTATGTAGCCTATGGCGGTGGTGAACATGTCAAACACGATTTTGAATTGTTGTGTGGTTATGGCTATGGTTGGGTACCAGACTCTAATGGTGGTGTACCACCAGGTGCTGTTATCTGTGGACGTACTAGCGATGGTGAACCACTTTATATTGGTCGCGGTCATTATTGTGGCAGTTTTACACCTGGTAAAATTCATCCATCTCATGGTTGTCTCTATATTCCATTCGGTGGTCAAGAAGTGCGTCTACACGATTATGAAGTACTTGTTAGGTCTTAAGCAAATAATGCGTAATTTATGCTTTAGAGCTGAATCGAGTTGTTTTCGTAATATTTCATTGTTCAATTTTTTGTTAAAAAAATCTTTCTTAAATAAATTCTTTCCTATTAATTTTTAAATATAACTATAACTTTTTTTATAACAATAATAATGTATAATTTTTTTTTTAATAAATAGCTTTACTCATTTAGTAAAGCTCAAAGAATTTTGTACGTCATTTACTTGTGAGTGAATAAAAATAAGATAATTGGTTCTTCTGAACTGCTTTGATTGGGTTTTTATCTTAATTAAAAAATCTATTGAATTAATAAATAGTTTTTAATAATGCATTTTATAATAAACAACGAGTTCACAGAAAGTAAAAACAAAATTTCTCTAAATTCTTTCGTGGAAAAAGATTTTCAAGAAGAAAAAACACAGATATAGATTTACATTGACGATCTTTCGGAGACGATCGATACTGGGAAAGATCGATAAACGTGAAAATCGGAATGATTGTATGCAAATTGTGGTATGTTACACTTAAAAAATTCTATATAAATTCTTTCGTTTACAACGATTTTTACCAAGCTAAAATATATTATCCAACTTAAAGCTGATTATTGTAAATTCTCAGAAGAAAATTAATACAGAAAATGGAGCAATGAATTTGAAAATCGTTGCGATGATTTTATGGAAGTTGAGGTAGATAGCACATAAAATATTCTGCATAAATTCTTTTTTTTTAAATGATTTTCACTAAACAAAAAGATATTATTCAGTGTAGAGCTGCATATTATAGATCTTCCGAAGAATAGCGATGCAAAGAAGACAAGAACGATCTTGTCATTCATCAGCGTATTTCAGTTATTATTTATTATATTAAAAATAAAGCTATTTTATTTTTAATAAAATAAAATATATATTCCAAAAAAAACTATTATTTCTGCTCCATGAACTTTTTATACATTCAAATCTGAGCTTTTTAAACAGAACTAAACTATATGACCTTAATACAAAAACTCTTTTTGGAGGTATGGAATCAAAATATACTGTAATGTCAACAAACACATATCAATAGACAATCTTCTTCAAGTATTATATATTTATATATTTTTAAATATTCTAATTGAGATCAATGTTGAATAACACACAATTTTTTAAATTAGTTTTAAAAACTTTATTATATTGTCACCGACTTTTTGACTATAAATTTATTTATATTATTTTTTATATCATCGAGGTATTTTAAACTACCGGAAAATATTTATTTATTTTTTTGAAGTATATACATAAATTAATGAAAAAATCAATAAATAAATAAACAAATAAAAAAAGGGTATGTAACATATTTATTGATTCATTTAATAATTTTTTGTTTTAATGACCAAAAAAAATTTAATGATACTTTTGTTTTTTAAATGGTCAATGGTTATATATATTTTTTTTTAAAGTAATAAAAAAATTTTTATTTTAATATAAAAAGAAACAAGTAAAAATTTTTTATTTTTTTTCACAAAAAAAATATATTTAACTCTTCATCAATAAGACCGTTGAAAAAACAAAAATATCATTAAAAATATCATCATTATAACAATAAATTATTAAATTAATCAACAAATATATATTTAAATAATTCAATGAATATAATAAAATAAATTAATTAATTAAATAAATAATTCAACAAATATGGTACAAAAAAAAAAAAATAATATAAAAATAAATAAATAAAAAACCAACAGATAAAAAAATAAAAATTTCAATAAATAAATTAATAAATGAATCAATAACTAAATCAATAAAAATAAATATGTATTTAAAAAAACAAACAAATAAATATTCAAATGATTCAACAATACATATAAAAAAATCAAAAAATTAACAAATTAGCAAATAAATGAATAAAAAAAATAAATCAAATAAACAAATAAAAAATAAACATAACAATAAACATAAATGAATAAATATATATAAAATTAAATAAATAAATAATAAATAATCAAATAAATGAATAAATAAATTAATTAATTAATGAATAACTAATAATAATAAATAATTAATAATTAATATAATAAGTATAAGTATAAATAAATTAAATGAATAAATAATTTCAAGAAGCGATATTTTATCGTAATTTTAGACCGTAAGAAATAATTACGGTCTTCAAATGTACTAAAATGGATGTTGTATTAACTAAACATGTTCAGTTTGATACAAGAGAGCAGTTGTCAGTTTTTCAAACAAACAAATTTATTTGGTTGTTGCCTAAAATAGTGCTATATTATATATAATGTATGCAAATAATATTATAGAAAAAATTTGTTAGTGTGTGTTAAAATGAATTTTTGTGTTAATATTCTTCACTCCTCTATAAGCAAGGAAAAATTCTTACATCTTTTTTTTTATTTCCGTTTATTTACGAAATAATGTTAATAATTTTTATAGTAGAGAATTTTGAGCTTTAGGTATTAATCGAACTGATCAAAGCTTCCAACATTTTGTTGCTCGAAAATGCTTATACTGGATCCGGTGTATAATGAAAATATATAATATGAAATAAATTAATAATAAATAAGTAAAAAATGAAATTAAAAAATAAATCAATGAATAAATAAAACAATAAATAAATAAAAACAAATACAATAATATCAATATGAAACATTGAGCGAATGTCTATATGGTTTCAATATTTTCCAACAATTTCAACATAAGGCAGTTGGAAGATTTTTCAACATTTAACTCAGCTAGCACTTACTCTTTGTGTGAAGCGTATTAAGATCTCAATTTAATGTGTCACGATTATGCGATGTGCAACCTTTTTTAAGAAAGTACATTAGTCCTTTATGAGTGAAATGATATTGCATGCCTTAAAATTATTAACCGAATAGAAATATTTAAATGATTTGTGTGCGTACTACTTATTTGCTTATTAGAGCTGACTTCATGTTAAGTGTACCAAACGGTTTAGGCAACAAAGTCCTTTAGCTGCCGAAATGCAAATATCGATGGTAACTGTTAAAAAAAATTGTTTAATTTAACATACAAAACACAACAACAACCATATAAACATATATGAATAGGCAACATAATTATGTTAACATCAAGTGAACGTTAAATTTAACATACTACATATTTAATGTAATTTAACCTGTTTAAATCAATTAGAATGTTAATTACCAATAGCATTTTAACACAATTAACATAACATAAATAACAAAGGCAATGGAAACTTAAACCATTGTTTCTTCTCTGTTGCAGCAGTTAAACAAAAACAAAATCTAAAACATAACGGAAGCAAGTGTGTGAGTAAACAACATGATTAACTGCAAGGCATTAGTATAAGAATGTCCGTGTGGGCGAGTGGTGACAAGCAAGAAATGGATCAGCGCTCATTTGTGATTAAAAAAAAAACTTAAAATTATATTCAATGATTTGAATTAGTGATTAACAAATTAGAGTTTTAATCAATATAAGCAATTTAACTGCAGCACAATAATATTAAAATAATAATTTTTACATAAAAAAAACCTAATTAAAGTGAAATGAAAAATTGTGACGCCATTTTAAAAATGGCGTTGATTCGGCAAATTAATCACAGCCAATAAGATATTTTTTTTGTTTGCATTTGTAAAGCGGTTTTAAAACATGCGTACGTAATATATAAAATGAATATCAGTTTTGTTTTACTTTTATATAAAATATTTTTATTTTTGTATATAAAAGTATAAAGTTTAAAAATGAAAGAATGTTACCATTATCTTAACATATACTGTAGCAGTGCAATGACAGCGCAGTGCAGCAGCAGTGACAGCCGCAGCGAAAATGAGCAACAACAATGGCAGAGACTCGAATCTGCTTCTATTGTGTAGTTTATGCGAAAGGTAAGTTAAGAAGTTTATTAATTCATAAATAAAAAATATGAAAAGTTGTCTTTATATTTATTTATTAAAAAATTATTATTATTTAATTTTAAATAAGCATAAAGTTAAAAATTATATTACTTTTGCATTTTGTAAATTTTGTTACCCAAAAATAATAGTTTTTTACATGTTTTTTGTGTGGCGAAAATTTTAACTGTGGTGAAATTTTCAAAAGCGACCGAAGATGTGTTCCAGAAAAACTCATCAAAGTGACATTTTCAATAGAGATTGGATCGATTAAACATCTCTCTGTGCTAGTATAGTTGTTAAAAATTATACAGACAAACAGAAGCTCTTCTAGAACTTTCTGGCATATAAAAGCTTTTTCACATGCATAGTTAAATCAACTTATACGAATGAAAACGATCAAATCTGAATTTAATTAATATAAATTATTTTAGTTGTAGTGGGAACATGGTATTATAAAAATTATTTTAATCTAATTAATTAAAACTAAATTTTTTGACTGATGAAACAAAAATTTTCTTTATCGTAAATTAATTTTAATCAATTAATAATGGTTATTATTATTTATGACTTCCTGTAATTTTTGGGTAGCTTCATAATTGCAATAGCGTAACACTTCTATAGTTTATTGGCAATACTCTTTGTTTAGTACCATAAATACCAGAGGCTTTTCTGACGGACAATTTTTTACTATTAAAATACTTTTGCCAAAACAAAACAAATGGTAGTCAGATGTTGCAAAGTGCGTGGTATAAGTTCTGTCAACTTTTTTCAAGTAATTAAAAATGTGTGAGTCCTGTCATTGGCAATTTAGAACGCAATACATTTTTTGTTTGTCAGTTTGTTGTCTCTGTTTGTTTCGCTGAAACGGTCGGATTGTAAGCAGTTGATGAACAAATTAACTGTTTAAAGGTTAGAGAGAAGTTGGTAATAAAAAAATCACTTTCAATCCCACCAAACACTCAACCATACTTTGGTTGCTATCAATTCAGACCATTAAATCAACGAAATAATCGTTGTACCAGGTTGAAGATGCTCGTCATAGACAATGCTCTGCCAATCCCACCATACAACATAATACAACATAACCTTGTTTGCTGTCAATCCTGGCTTTAAAGTAGATAAAAGGTGTTGGACACTCTCTTACGTAATTTATGTCATCGCCTATTAGATTACGTTGTATTTTAGCATCGTTTTACTGATCGCACAATTAATTTTTTTTGCGCTAATTTATGTGGCGCCAAATATCGTACGTCTA